CGATGCGTCGCAGCTCGGCAAGTTCGAGGTCCCGGGCACTCTCGCTTGATGAAGTTACAGGATGGATCTGCCGAGCTGGCACTAGGTTTCCTTGAGCGGGTCGCACACCTTGCGTCTGACTTGCGTTTAGGCGGTTGATTTCGTCCTGAGCGCAAGCTTGGGCCGCTGCCAAAGATTCGAGTCGTTCGTTCGTCCTGGCCTCTTGCTGGCTCAGGTGCGTGAGGATGTTTTGAAGCAGGTCGTCCGGTTCGCCGCGGTCCTGACTCCTTTGGTTCGTCCCGGCTCTGGTGTTAACCTGCGGGTTCGTCGCGTTATGTCCGTTTGAAGGAGTTATCTGAGCGTCAGGATGTGGTGCAAGGTGCGGTCCGGTAGCTGCCGCGGTAGGTCCTTCCGGCGTCGGGGGTAGCGAGGGCGGTGCGGCTGCGGGCGTGCATGCTTCTCCTCCCGAGCTGGAGGCACTTGCGCCGAGTGCGTTGTGGAATGCGTCTGTCATCTTTGCTGTTTCGTCGGTTCGTAGTTTTGAGAGAAATCCTCGAGCTTCTCCCCCTTCCTGGCGCGCCAACTGTTGATCCTCAAAATCACACAAGTACGTATTCGGAGTCTTAAGGGAAAAAAGAAGAATCTCTTATTTAAAGAACGAGCCGACGATTACAAAAATAGACGAGCTAGAAATTTAGGTACGAGCCGAGCCGCAAAGTGTTGTGACGGTTGCACGATATTCTCTGTCAAAGCGGTTATCTCGGGATCCCCTCTCCAATCACTCTTCTTCCCTTATTTATAATGTGCAGAGGTAGGGTACCCTACCCGTGCTGAATGTCTTCTTTGCCCTTTGGTCGGTGGAGAGAGGTTCACTGGGCTTTTCCTGGGCTTCTGTATCCCAGGTTTTTTGGGCCCGAGAAGATGACGGGCTGGCTAAGGTTTTTGGGCCCGAGCCCAAAATCTACCATCAACAGGAAAAAAGGACCCCTTGGGCAAAAATTTAATGTTTTGGCTGTGAACTCTAAAACCTAAGCAAAGCTTGATTGGTTTGGATTTATGGACGTAAGAAGAAAAGTGGCTTTTACATATTTGAAAGCCGTAAACAATCACGATTATGCTAGACGATGTCTCACGATATAAATTTTATATTGTAAAATACAAAATTAAATATAATTGTATGTTTTGGAAATATATAAATACGTAAGCATATAAGTAAAAATGTGACAACATATTTCATTGAGTGATATATTTTAATGTATTACTATTGAAAATTTCATATATTGGTTATTTTGTGTAATGAAACAAAATTCCGACTAGTAATTTAGCTGAAGGTTATAAAATGGCAGACTGATATTTATACGGTTTTTATTATAAAAAAAATTATTAATGCTAAATTTTTGCTTCTGCGTATCCGTTTCTGATTATATTTAATTGAGATGCTAACAACTAAAGCCTACATATTTATACAACTTTCGGTTTATAAATTTAGACTCGTCAGTAAAGAGTAAAGCCCACATATTTACAAACCAAATTCACTATATGATGAAATTTTTTTTGTTAATATTAAAAACCAAACAACTTAGATAATTTAATGCGGGTCATTAATCCGGATCAAAATTCCGGGTCAAAACTAAAAAAAAACCGACCCGATTGGAAAGAGCAAATTTGTACTTCAAAAATGTTAAGTAGACTAGGATATGACCCGCGGTACACCGCGGGTTAATTATTTGATTTTTTTTAATCATTTTATAAACTGATGAATTTGTTGTGTATAATATTATTTGTTGTATACCGCGGATCACATGCATTGTAACTAAAAAATAAAAATTTTAAGTTGTATTTGTTTTGTTTAGTGTTTAAGATTGTATAATTGTATTTTGATTTGTTAATTCTAGGATTTCACCCGTGGTATATTGTCCCGTATTAATATCGACCCAAACCCGTCTCACTATATATTCTCGTCCTGTGAAATTAAACATCATTTTGTTATTTTTTAATAACACTTTTATTTAAAAGACATATACTTTGAGTCAATCTAAAAGTTTGCTTTCAAATGGTTTCCATAATATATATATTTTCAAATTAGTGTGTTTTTTTGGACCAACCCGTAAAAACAATTTATGATTTTATACTAAAATACTAAACAATTTAGGATTTCACCCGTGGTATACGGTCCCGTTTTGGATAATTATAGAAATTAAAGAAAGATCCAAATGATTAAATGCGCAAATTTGTTCTTCAAAAATGTTAATATATATTACACACATACTTTTTTTCTTCATCGATTAAGTAATATATGTCCGTTTCAAAAAATTTGAATCATAGCATATGGAGAAAAAAATCTAAGGTTTTATTAACTACATATATTTTATAATAATTCAAAATAATATAAATATAAGATCAAATAAAAGTGAAATGAGAATCATATATTTATGTATAAATTAGGTAGAGAGGTTTTAGGAAATTAGCTCAAATTTGTTATATTAGCATTAAATCATCATATTTGATTTCCTTATCTAGAAAAATCGTAAATAATATACCATAAATAAAGAGTTTAGATATAGTAATTAGTTGAGAAAATATATATATATTAGATTTTATTAATTAATTTCGTTTTTAAATTTTGCCAAAATTTAAGGAAAGATCCGATTTAGATTTTCGGGTCAAAATTGAAACAAAATCCGACCCGATTAGGATCCCTTAAAAGTGTTGCAAAAATATATAGTAGATATCTTTGTTGGAACCATCACATAAATGAAAAATCGCTCTATTTTTTTTAGTATACAAGTGTCTTCGATCGAATTGTACATCTGGAGCAGAGCATATGTAATGAAATATCTCAGAGAACGCTTGTAGATTTGCTCCAATGTTTCACTAAATTGCTGGTTCTCAAGCTTGAGAATATATTCAATATCTACATTTTTTCTTTTACATTTTGAATATCCAGTGTTTAGTTTTCAAGCACAATGATCTTTAATTACATTGTTATTACCCTTTTTACTCGTGTTGGCAGGTCTACAGACTAACTCTTAATGTGGATCGGTGGCACACGCCGAGTTTTGTTCCTGAATGTTTGTTGTCCAGCCTTGAAGCTTTAGAGTGGAGACGATACACAAGGAGAGACCGAGATAAGGGTCTTATGAGTTATCTCCTGATTCATGCGCTACGTTTGAAAACGGTGAAAATCTTCTCTGACGTGGAAAACAAGCAACAGATTGTGGAGGACTTAGCTTCTATGTCAAGAGGTTCCAAGTCATGTCAACTTGTGTTCAAGTAACTGAGATTGCTGACATTTCGATGAACCTCAGGACATGTTATGATCCGATGTTTTGCTTAAAACGACTTGAAATTTTCAGACGCGATATAGCCATATAGGGATAACATCCGCCTCTTAAACAACCGGAAAACAGACATGAGTCCCATGAATACTATTTTTTAGAACATAACATAAGTTAATTATAATGTCGAGCGGGAGAGAGTTGTTGCTGCCATGTCGGATGTGTCGATGTCCACCACCGATTTAATAGAAAAGACTCGTCGTAGCCGGAGAAGGAGAGCTCGCGAATGGTCTCCGAGATCAGGTCGTCACACATTGATGATAAATTTACGTATTAATTGATAGGATAGTGATTTGAGTGCATGGACTATATAACTTCAAATGTATTTCATTATTTGTGTCATTATTCCACGAAATATTCTCTTATAATATCTGTCTACTTAAACGTGGGGAAAATTCCCAAAAAAAACCTCAATTATTTTTTATTTGGACATTTAATACCCAATTGTTTTCGGTTGGAAGAAAAATACACATATTAATAAAACTGTGCGATTTAATATCCAAACAATTAAATGTTGTTATTTTCATACTGACGATCTCACAACAAAAATAAAATTCCAATTTTACCCTTACTATTTCAATTAATTATTAACTTTTAGATTACGTGACAATAGTTTTTATTTAAATAAAAATTAATTTTATTAATATTTCATATCTTTATTATCCCAAAAAAAATTCAAAAAAAATTTCAAAATAATTTGTAGTTTATTTTACAAATATTTAATTTTAAAAATTAAAATAAAATTAATTAGCAAAAAATTAAGAAAAAGTAAAAAAAAATTAGCCATTTTTATGAATTGATAAATCTTGAGAGAGACGATGAGATTCGGATTGAGATTTTGTCGAAAATAGTTTCATTCGTGAAGGATTTATATTCGAATAGAGAGTTTCTCACGACGAAGAAAAAGTTCATATTGATGCTCGTTGATATCATATGCATCACGACGAATCAAATCAAATTAGTTTTATTGGCGATGAAGATTTTGGATAGGATTAAAAGGAGATTGTAAAAGGTTATCGAATTTGATGGTTGCAAAAGAGGACGACGGAGATTGTTTACCGGTAATTCTCGTAGATATTAATCGAAAAAATTAGAATCGAAGAGGAAACGTCTCTTTGACATTGCAAAGACGGAATAAGATTGTACAAATGACTATTTTTAATATTTTTGATTTTCTGCTAATTTTTATGTTTAATTTTAAAATAAAATAATTATATAAATTTAAAATTTATTTTTTAGGCATCATAAAATAAAGCATTAACAAAATTAATTTTTATTTGAATAAAAAAATAATACCACGTTATTTAAAAGTTAATAGTTAATTGAGATGGTAAGGGTAAAATTGGAATATTTTTTTTGTTGTGAGTTCGTGAGTATGAAAATAACAACATTTAATTGTTTGGGTATTAAATCGCACAGTTTTATTAGTATGTGTATTTTTCTTCCAACCGAAAATAATTGGGTATTAAACGTCCAAATAAAAAATTAGACGTGGGAATTGAACCACAAAAATAAAACGCGTTTTCCAAACTTGAGAAAGAATTTGTTAGAAAAACAAGTAAAATAAATTAAAAAAAAAAAAGGAAATTTGTTGAGAAAGAAGATAAATACGATTCCCAACTGCTCTTGGAATTGTTTATCAGTATATGGCTATAAATACACAACTCACACAATTCGCAAATTCATAAATCTCTTTCTTCCAAAGCAAAGCAAAGACTACTCCGGAAAATTTAACCTACGTTTGTCTCCGAGTAAAAACGCAATCATCATCATGTCACTGTCTTCAAGAACCGTTGTAGTGGTTTTGTGTTTTCTGTTCGTAATCGCTCCATACTTCACTAGAGCAACAACCGATGGAGTTCGTGCTAGATGTGACTCTAAACAATTTAGGAACGACAAACACTTCCGATCTTGCATTGACCTTCCGGTGTTAGACTCCTATCTACACTTCAGTTATGTTCGAGAAACCGGAGTACTTGATGTTGCGTATCGTCACACCAACGTCGAGAGTTCTAGTTGGATTGCTTGGGGCATAAACCCGACGAGTAAAGGCATGTTAGGTGCTCAAACTCTCTTGGCTTACCGTAACTCCACGTCTGGTTTTATGCGCGCCTATACTTCCTCAATTAAGGACTACTCAACTATGCTTCAAGAAGGACCTCTCAGCTTTCACGTAACACAACTTTCCGCTGAATTTCTCAATGGAGAGATGACTATATTCGCCACTATAGTCTTGCCTTCTAACACAACAGTCGTGAATCATTTATGGCAAGACGGTCCGCTGAAAGAAGGTGATAGACTTGGGATGCATGCTATGAATAGAGATCATCTCAAATCCATGGCTACTTTGGACTTGTTGTCCGGACAAGTCACGACCACTAAAGCAGCTAACGATAACATGTTACTAGTCAAAAACATTCATGGACTAGTGAACGCTGTGTGTTGGGGGATTTTCATGCCCATTGGTGTCATGGCTGCAAGGTACATGAGGACCTACAAAGGACTGGATCCCACTTGGTTTTACATACACATATTTTTCCAAACCACCGGTTATTTTGGTGGTTTATTGGGAGGACTAGGAACTGCAATCTACATGGCTAAACACACGGGAATGAGATCTACACCGCATACTGTGATAGGGATCTTTTTGTTCGCTCTAGGTTTTCTACAGATACTTGCCCTTAAAGCAAGACCGGACAAGAACCATAAGTATAGAAAATATTGGAATTGGTACCATCACACAGTGGGATATGTAGTGATTGTATTAAGCGTCTACAACATCTACAAAGGCTTAGCCATCTTGCAACCCGGAAGCTCATGGAAGATTGCTTACAGCACCATCATTGGTGTCATCGGATTGTTTGCGATCGTGATGGAGATCTTACAATTTAACAAGAGGTGGGGTGGCTTATGCTGCAAGAAATCTAAGGACCTGGAAGCTGATCAGACGGCTTGCATTGATGTCTAGTTTCTTGAGGTTGACGTAGTAGTTATATTGCTAAGACTAGTTCGTGTGTGACGTCCCTTTGTGTTCACATTGCAAAGATTAGTTTGTCATTCTTTATTTTTACTTGTAGAATGTTTACTTCTGAATAAAAGTTATTTTCTTAAATGGAATTTTAAATTGCTTAGATGAATTTGTCATTCTTTGCGTTTAGCACTTGGAGAAGAACAACTTCTGAAAAAAAATATTACTCCAACAGAAAAAAGATTCGAAGAGTTTTAGTGGGCCAAACTGCGCATATAGAATATATAACCTTTGTTAGTAACGAGTAAAGCCCACATATCTCTACAACATTTGATTTTTATATAAATTTACAAACCAAATTCACTAAATGATGATTTTTTTTTTTGTTAAAATTAAAAACCAAACAACTTAGATAGGCAAGAAGAACTCTGTGGAGCCGGAAGATGATTCAAACGACACTTGAGATAAAGATAATTTAGATATAGGATGCATAAACAGAAAATTGTTGTCATTACTAAAGCAAGAATTTTTGTGTATACTAAAACCTCAAATACAAAACATTGAGAAACTGAAACAGAATCATTAGCTTGTTTTTCGAAGTGAATAACAGAGTTTTTCACTACCCCCTTAGGCCCTCTCTTCTTCTCTGAGCTTGTTCTTTTCTTACTCTTTCCCGAAATCCGCGTTATAGTGAGAGCTCGACTCAAGTTTCTTGGCCTCGCTCAGCTTTCTCACCGCCTGTATAACCGACAATGTGATAAGCAGAAAAGTTTGGATACAAATAAATATGTAAAAATGCAGATTATTTATTTTTGTTTCTACCTTCATGAAGTCTTCATGGATTACATAGTCGCGCTCCGCTCTTATTGCAAACATTCCAGCTTCAGTGCATATGTTACGCAGATCGGCACCATTGAAACCCTATGGATGTTGATTGAAAGGAACAATTAGTGGGATCTATAATATATAACAAAGGCAAAACTACAACGCAGTGAGCATGTAAGAAAAAGAAACAAACCTCTCCAAGTTTCACGATAGCCTCATAGTCTATTTCTCCATGCTTGGCAATACCAGAGGCGTGGATCTTGAGGATTTCCATTCTTGATTGTTCATTTGGCAACGGGATCTCAATCTTTCTATCTAACCTACCCGGACGGAGAAGTGCTGGATCAAGAACATCCGGCCTGTTGGTGGCCATTATCATTTTCACCTGATAATATTATCTCCCAAGTATCAGAAGATATTCCATTGTACAAATAATTTTGGGAAACAAATATATTTAATAATGAAAGTAACGAACACTTGTGATGAGTTTATATCACAACCACTTGTGTGAAACACAAGTTAGAAAACAAAACTACTTTGAACTATAGATACCCCAGCAAGTTTCACACCTCAGCTAATAAAATAACTTAACCACACAGATTTATCATTTATGCACGAGTACTATTCTAAAACTTTAGGTCATACCTTTCCAAGTTGGTCAAACCCATCAAGCTGGTTGAGTAACTCCATAAGTGTTCTTTGGATTTCACGATCAGCACTAGTTCCTTCACTAAAACGGCGCCCACCAATAGCATCGATTTCATCCATGAAAATGATACAAGGCTAGCCCCGAAGAAGGAGAGTTAATAAAAAAGTCATAAATGTCAATATAATGCATATAAAGATATAAGAAAAGAAGAAAAATATGGTATTCTACCTGGTGTTCACGAGCATAGTTAAACATTTCTCGGATCAACCTAGCACTTTCTCCAATGTATTTGTCTATGATTGCACTTGATACAACCTAAATATAAAGGCAAAAAAAGATTTTATTTAGTACAAATAAGGCATTATAAAACAGAACACCAAACAAAACCTTCGCAACAAAACCAAACCTTCAAGAAGTTGGCGTCGATATTGCTGGCAATGGCCCTAGCTAGTAGAGTTTTTCCAGTACCCGGAGGTCCATACAGAAGGACACCCTGGAATGAGAGGAACACTAATTAGCATTCATGGAATTTGAAGTGTGTTTCAATAGCCATTCATACCGGTAACCACAGGCAAAGGGAAACATAAAAAGTGAAGTACGGGATAGTTTGTGACAATAAAAGAAAGGACTGGACATAGAGAATAAGTACCTTAGGAGGTTTAATCCCAACTCTAAGGAAAAGTTCAGGATTCATGAGAGGCAGCTCAATAGATTCTCTGAGTTCTCTAATCTGATCACCTAAACCACCCACTGCAGAGTAACTAATGTTTCCTGGATCTTCATGCAACATGTTATAAACAACAGGATCGACCTACCATCAAAAGGATACAACCGAATTAAATCCAGTACAAACACACTAAGCAGCTACAAAAAATAAGCAAAACTCTGAAATCAAGCATACTTCACGAGGAAGGGCTCGCATTATAGTCAGCGTAGTCATATCCAGAACAACTCGAGTTCCCGAGGTAAGCTTTTCCTTGTCCACCTTGCTACGACAACCCACCACATAACGAGGGCCACTACTTGCCTTAACAATCACTAAAAGAAGAACAAAAATTCCACCTTCAGATGATAGAAACACAAAGTGTAGTAGTATTCAATCAAAAGCAAAGGTAGAGACAGGAAATTACATCGCTCATTATCAAGAGGACGTAATACTTCTCCGATAATCTGACCAACACTTTGAAGAGACTTCAAATCATCCTCAGTTTTGTTGAATTCCTTCTTAGCTGCTCTTAAATTCTCTCTAGCTGCATAGCCACAAGACCCAGTTTATAGAACTATAACAAGTGAAATTAAGCTTGAAATCGACTTCAAATTGACTAAACAAGTGAAGAAACAGTGGAACCAATTCAATTCGGAACCTTAGAGTAGGAACAAACCCTAGATTTGATTTTGAGCCAAGACCTTTTTCAAACTAAAGCCCAGAAAACGAAAGAAGAGAATGAGGAAGAATTTGAAATCGAACCTGTGCGGACACGGGATTCGAGCTCCTTGTGATGAAGGAGCTTCTTCCGGTAATCAGTCACCGCCGCGGTACGGCGTCTAGCGGCGTCGTCTCCGTCGCTCATCTTCTACAGATCTCAAAATTTGACACTAAAGCAATTTATCAATTTTTTTGTTTTAAAGTAATTGTTTTCTTGAGGAATGGGTTTTGTTAGTATTTTGGGGGCCATGGACTATTTGGGTCCGGCTGGGTAAAATTATCCTTCGATCCGTTTTCATCACTTTCAGCAGCTTCTATTTAATTCCAATATATATATATTTATTTATTTATTTAAAAAAATATATCTCGAGTCTGTACAGAAGCAGAAATATTTTAATTTGTAAATAACAAAACAAAACCTTAGGAGATATAGTGCAATTTGTTCTGGCTAAATTCTAATTTTTGAATTTTTTAATAATCTTTCAATTTGTATGGAAAGAATTAGATATCCAACTAAAAATTTTAAATTTTAATGAATAACTAATTAAGCGAAAAAATATTGAACTTAAATTTTTTTATTTAGTGGTGGAAGCATTGAATCATAAGAGGACGATTGTCTCGATCGAAAAGAAGTAGAAATGTTGCATTGTGATGTTTGGAATGTTGTAATTGATCGAGTGGATATATTTGACACATACTAGGATGGGTCCGGAGGAAATTTTTTTTTGTCTTGAGGTCAAGGCTTTGTGGGATTTAAAAAATTATTTGATTCTTGATAGCTATGTTCGTAATATGTTTAAAGCTAATGTTGAAGTTGCTCTAAATAAATTCTAGCCTATTTTTTTTTTACCAAAGGAAGACTTATTAGTTATTACCATTGAACTTTGCGGTGGAGATAAATTTCGAGCGATTAATGGACAAAAGCAACGATATCAAATTCTTAGAAATCCGAACAGTAAACATGCGGTGTGATACTCAAAATTGTCCAGCGTTTGTTATACATTCTCGTATTTACAAAGGTAAAAATTTCTCTTAATTGGTTTCAAGTGTTTATAAGAATTTTTAATAGGCAAATCGAGTTCTTCTTATCTCTTTTTTTGCAACAAGAAAACCGATGCAGCTGATAAATATCTCTCTAAGAAGATGTTCTTGAAATCAATTGACGACAAGAAGAACAACTTCCTGATAATTTCTGGTGATGTCGATTTAATGACTACTATTGATGAATTGAGAAAAATATATATTTATGATGTGAGCTACGCTCGAAAGTTCGAGTCAGAAGAACATACTACTATGAAGAAAGTATGTGCACCTATCCCCCTTCTCAGTATCGTAGAGCAAGTTTAGTTGTAGAAAACTCTTATTATTATTTATTGTTTTTTAGCTTCAGAGTGTGTTTGTTTTAGACTTTTAATTCCATCTGTTGAAAATGTTAAAGAGTTCAAAGAACTTATTTGCTTTGCTTCTTCATATATCTCTATTAGTATTAATGATGTCATACACTGCTGTTAAGTGAATACGGATAAAAATAAATATTGATCTGAAATTTTGTGACCGTGGTAGAAGCATTCAATTGTAAAAGGACGATTATCAAGATCAAGAAACGAGTAGAAAAGTTGCATTGTGATGTTTGAAATGTTGTAATTAATCTAGTGGATATGTTAATACAACATATTGTTTTGCTTTTACCACTCATCTTTCTCTGGATAAACTAAAAATCATTGTTGTGCACGTAATAACATTTGGATTTACACAATTTTGTAGGGAGGCTGCACTTTCCTAATATTACACTTTCTACAAATTATAATAATGTAGATAACAATATCATCAACTATATCAGTTACTTGAAGTATCTCAAAAAGCTCATGTATCGTTTTTCGTTTCTCCATTCGCACATAGTGCATTGATATTAGGCTTGGTAGTGGGAAATGATATTGTAGGAGATTATTTCAATATAGATCTCTTTTGTTTTGACCAGCTTGTTTATTGCGATGAGGTTTTGAATGACGGATGAATACGTAACCATGTTGAGAAAACTCATTATTTTGTAAGTGTTGTGTTCTTTATATATATATATATATATATATATATATATATATTAAATTTGGAGAATCATTTTTCAATGTAATTGATTTAAATAAGTGATAGTTACATATCCAATAATTTTCATGATCCAGATCACTTTTATTATAAAAGATCATTGAGCTGTACAAAATCTTTAGAGAAATTAAATTACTTGTTAAATTTCCAACCTTAAAACCTTAAATATGAGGTTTTATGAATTCCAAAAATAACCTTAAAACTTTAACATTTGAGGTTTTTTGTCCATATAATTATATATATCATAAATCATTTTACTAATTTTTTTATATCATATTAGTCCCTACATATTTATATCTCATAAATATAGATTTAAATTAACCAAACACCTTAATTTTTTGTAAAGAAAATTAGAAATAAAACTCATTTACCACTTCAAAATGCATTGATTGATCATATATCGGAGCAATATGGAACTAGTTTTGTTCAATAATTTGATAATTTAATTTGTGTTTTTATTATTATTGTTGTTTTTATCTAATTTGATATTATAATATAACATCTTATTGAGTAATATTGTTTGTAATATTGCTTTAATGTATGTTTTATAGTTTTATAAAAAAAATGATTTTAATTAATTATAATCAATAATGATGACTATAATACAAAATACAAAATTGTTTTGAAGTTGAAATTTGGAAAAAAAACATCTTTCAATCTCAAATTTGAGGTTCGGCATACTTCAAAAATAAAATCCATTCTGGAGATGCTCTAAATTATTTGAATCCGAATGATTTCTAAATTAAAAACTAGCATCGTTTTATTTTCGGATGAAGGTGTTTCATACTTATCTACTCTTATAATTTGCTCCTTATGAGTTATTTGAGAATTATTTACAAATTACTTACTACTTGTCTCATTCTTCATCCGTTTAATTTTTAAAATAAATCTATAATCTTTTTTTTATTATTAAGAAAAATGAGAAGATAATATATATAGCGAACAAAGAGTATAACAAGTCCACTATTATCATTCCTTTAGTACTTGTTCTTGACCACTAACAAATATTTAAACAGTGTTACTTGTTTTCTTGAGACGGACGCAAACCATAAAAAGAATACAGTAAAAATTACCAAATTTGTATGTTCCCTTAAAACAACCGTCCATTTTCATTCAAAGACGTTAATTAGATCATCACTAACATATAGAAAAACATAACACGACTTATTCTTAATCACCCCCTTAATACAATAATAATGTAGTAACACAGTTTCTTTTAGTTAATCACATGACAACTCTTCCTGATCTCACCATTAAAACCAGTAAGAGGCTGAATGTTCCCCATGTTTACCATCGACTTCGCGAATTGTTGGAAGAAAAGTCTCTCGTCTTCGGCATAAGCTTTCACTAATGAACCAGTCTTGCCTACGTTGCCAGTGAGAAGCACTTCATCTGATGTCAATAAGCCTTTGCCCCATAGGAGGAGCTTGAAGTATGTGTTGTCGAATCGAGAAGGAGAGGCTAAGTCTAGAGGTGAAATGTTGTTGTCACCGCCCGTTGGTGGACAAATCGACCTGAGACCATAGTAGTAAGACCTCTCTAGTGTCTCGTCTGGTTGGTTGTTACCGTTTTGATTGTATAGCCTTTGTTTGAACGTTGTGCACCTCGCTACTCCAATCGTATGTCCTCCTACAAAATTTTTGGTTAGGTTTTGATCAGTACAAAAATGTTGTTAATTATCATTCGGTTTTAAAAAATCGGTTTCGGTTTGGTTTCCATACCAACCGCTATGACAAAAGAAAAATAATGTTATTAAGCTCACCTGATAGGGAAACAAGGTCTTCTTCGTTCAAACCTTGGCGTTGGAACAAGGTTAAGAGATTCTGAATAGTTGAGTTAGGTGCAGGAATGTTCGTGTTTGCTCCATTAAGGCTCGCTGTCCTCGAGTCTCTTCTCCCTAGTGGAAGCTCCCATGATGGTCCACCACTCTGTATTGAACCACAAATTCAGAAAATATAAGCTATATAACTTGTAAATTAAAGGAGCCAATAGTTTCTCTTTGAAAGTCTCTTAAATTTACCAGTATAGTTGAGCCACGAGCAGCAAGAGCTAGAATGTCCGCGCATGAGACAGTTTGAGGGCAAGCTTGCTCAAGTTTGGCTTTGATCTCGTCGATTACTTGAAACCCTCTAATAGAGTTCTTGTTTGGTCCCGCATTCTTTTCACTTCTTATGGTAGCACTATCATCCAACAAGATTGATGCATCACAGCCCTGTTTACACACAGAGTGTATAAGTGTTAAGCTTATGAAACACATAACGGGTAAACAAAAATAAGTCAGACTTTTACCTGGACGAAGCAGTCGTGGAAGTGAAGTCTGAGTAAAGATGCTGCCATTCTTGGTTCTTTAGCAATGGCTTTTTCGAGCACGGTCATGACAATCTCATCAGCTTGTGGGCAAGAGAACTGGTAAAACTGTGGGTAAAGATTTGAAGAAAAAGATCCTCCAATGGGATTATTACTTCCCCATCCAAATCTTAGACCTGGATGAGCAACACCAACATCAAAAGAGAACAAAGCAAAGAGCACAAGAGTAGGAATAAGCTTTGAGATAGCCATCTTTCGTAACTTATGAGTTTTTAAGATGAGATAGTAGTAAAACGGTGAGGGTTTTTATACTTGAAGAGATTCAAAAAGCTAACTGCTCCCAGTTTACCAAATCCTAATTTAGAATGTTAAGATAAAGAGAGAGACATAGTCAAACTTATCCTTATTATACCTCCTCTTTGTCGTTTAGAAGAATTGTACCAACTCCAAGAACGAATCCATGTGCCTAACCTCACATGTGATCCCAACAAAACCGCCTTGTACCGTTGTTAGGTAAAGCTTCCCAACAATAAGCATCTGCACTGTCTAACTTCCTTGTGTTCTATGAGAGTTGAAGTTTGAAAATGATGAGTGAACTGCTACATTGAGAAAACTACTCTTACCAAATAAAGATTTTCTTCATTTCTTATTTACAAAATTAGACATTTAGCAAGTTATATCCACTCTGCATCTATATCTTTTGGTCACAAAACAAGACCAGAGCAATGCAAATGTAGCTTGGTTCAATGCTACAAAATATTTAGTTATGTTTTGACCAAGTATCTCAAAGGTCAAGTGTTTTGATTTCATTGCTTCAAGATGATTTAACCATATAAACTGCTTTAAACAAACATTAAAAGAAAATGTTAAAAGTCCAGAACCGATGGTTTTAAGTGTTTTTAAAACGACACAAAGTTTTGTGTCTGGTATAGATAATAACACTGTTTTGTTCAAAGCTTTAAACTTAAGAAAGAACTACAAAAACTAATACTCTGTTACTTTTAAGAGACTGCCTAACTCGTCCAAAATAAGCCATGATGTTGAGAATCTGATAGCTGCAAACAAAACAAAGTGTATTGCCGGCGATCAAAAACCACCATCATGGTTTGTATCATCACTCACTTTTCTTGGATCCATCGGTTCCATAAGTGGGATTCGAGGTTTCAGATGAAGCTAAACTAGAGCTGTTAGCAGACGGTGTAGAGGAAGAAGTGTCTGATGATGTCTCTGTAATTCCAGCTGAGTACTTTTTGATCCTCAATGAAATTAGAACACTTGATAGTATCCCAAGTACTGGAAAAACATAACCCCAGACCTGACTTTTCTGTTTTCCAGCTACTGAAGCTACAGCCATACCAGCGAGGCTGCCAACTGATGCGTTCTGCAAGATCATCGGGAGGCAGCCAATAACCGTGGGGAACAGAAAATCAGCTACAAACCGGACTTCTGTGGCTGCCAAAGCGTAGTTTATGACATAGGAAGGAATAGGTGAGAACCTTGCTAGAAGAACAAATTTCCAACCATCGCGCTCAACTCCTCTTGAGAGAATATTGAAGTATTTATTTCTATGCGCCCACCCTGTAGCTCTGGTGGAACTCTTAAAAACAAACCTGAAAATATAAAAACGTATGAGAGAATGGCAAATGCTCCCAATCGATAGATATATAAAAAAACTGCATATCACATTGCTACGGTTAATCAACATCCTAGTTGCATTCTCCTACATATATTAATTGGCACATAGAATCACTCCATGCATTTAACGGTTTGTTCTTACATATCCAACACATACACAAGACAACAACCAATCTCACGCACATACCATTATAGAACATGAAAACATGAATCTTCTCAACGGTGTTATTTTTCCTCTGAATAGCCAAAAATGACATCATTTCTTTATACAAAGATCCATTTCCTCTCATGCTTCAATTGAATGGATTTTAAAGAATTGTTCTCCATAACGTTTCAGTGATAAAGCATTACAGGACAATCTAAACCAAGTAACCAACACAAGAGATTATTCTACATCAACAAGTAAAAACTTTAAGCTCAAAAATCGATAACATAAACTAAATCAGAGAGTGTTACTAATAAAGCATATAGTTTCTCCGAAGCTATAATAATCCATTTGAGAATCCTTCATCTAAATCCAAATCATTTCGATCAAACTCATACACAATTAACACAAACAAGCGATCCAAAAGCTCAATTTGAATCATATAACAAAGAAATGAATTCAAAAGTGACAGATTCATAAACAGACCTGCCGATCCAAAAGGAGAAAGAAGCGGCGAGAACTTTAGCGGAGAAAACACAGAGAAGAGCAGGAAGGAAACCAAAGAGCATAGAAGCACCAGCTTCAAAGAAGACGGCGTGAGGGAGACAAAGAGCTAAGGTTACGGTGTGTACCGCTACATACGTCGGAATCGCCCAAATCCCGAGCCGATCTGACCATTCCTTTAGCTTTTCCAACGCCGCCTCTTTGTTCCAATCGTATTGTGTCGTCCCTTGTCTCACGATTATCGCAATTATCGCCACCGTCGCGGCGATTGCTAACCATTTCTTCATCACGGAGCTTTGAGATCAGAAGAGAACGTGAAAGGGACTGGTTTTGGTAATTGTCGCTAGTGATTTTTAAAAAGGGTAAATTGCAAAATGAAACCTCAAACTTTCAATGTTTTGTAGATATATCCTTGATCTGCTAAAATTGCAAGATGGGACTATTTAACTCACTAGAAACTCCACAATATAACCATCTCTTTACAAAGCATTAAATATCCACTCTCTCCCTACCTATTTGTCTTAGTAATGGAAGTGTTCTCACGGCTCCTCTTATCAAGGTTCTCTTCTGGGTACATCTTTTATCATCCTAAAACATCAGATCTGAATATCTCTCATCTGATGTTCGCGGATGATGTAATGATATTTTTGATATTTTTCGATGGAGAAAGCACTTCTTTACACGGTATAAATGAAACTCTCGATGACTTTGGGGGATGGTCTGGCCTGAACATGAACAGAGAAAAAACTGAGCTATTCCTTGCCGGTGTGGAGGAGACAGAAGCTGCAACAATATCTCACTATGGTTTTCCTCTTGCGTCTCTGCCTATTAGGTACTTGGGACTTCCTCTCATGTGTCGCAAGCTTAAGATCTCTGAGTATGCCCCTCTCGTGGAGAAAGTGAAGAAGAGACTTTCAGGTTGGGCTGCAAAGACGTTATCCTTTGCAGGAAGGCTGCAACTGATTGCTTCAGTTATTAATGGAATTGTGGTTTTCTGGATGTCAACTTTTAACTTACCAAAAGGCTGCATTCGGGAAATTGAATCTATCTGCTCTCGTTTCCTTTGATCTGGTGGGATTGATAATTGCCATAAGGCTAAAGTGGCTTGGTCTACTGTTTGTTTGCCCAAGTCTGAGGGCGGGTTGGGTTTAAGAAGATTCTCTGAATGGAACACCGCTCTTAGGCTAAAATTCATATGGCTTCTCTTCTCCAATAGTGGATCTCTATGGGTGGCTTGGCAAAGATTTCACCACTTCTTAGTTACTGGTTCTGGCTCCATCTCTGAGTTCTGGTCTATTCATGAAAAAGCTAGTGATACTTGGAATTGGAGATGTCTCTTGCGTCTGAGACCTTTGGCAGAAAAATTCTTAAAGTGCTCTATTGGAAATGGGTTGACGGCAAGCTTTTGGAGAGACTCCTGGTCTCCTTTTGGCCCTTTAATTAGCTTTCTGGGGTGCTAATGGACCAAGAAACTTGAGGATACCTATTGATGCTATCGTGGCTGAAGCTGCTGAGGGAAATGCTTGGATTCTGGCTTCTCCACGGTCTCAGTCTGCTTTGGACCTGCAGATTTTTTAAACCACCATTAACCTTCCTCTGCAGCTTGATAAAGAGGATTCTTCTACTTGGACTGTGAATAATGTGGAGTGTATTGGCTTTTCTTCCTCTTTGACCTGGGATGCTCTTAGGCGTCGTGAAGAGGAAAAGAGTCGGGCTTCTGCGATTTGGTTTAAAGGCGCCACTCCAAGAAACTCTTTTCATATGTGGGTCTCGCACTTGGACAGATTGCCTACCAGGTCTAGATTGCTCTCCTGGGGAATGCAGGTCTCGCCTCTTTGCTGCTTGTGTGACTCTGCTGTTGAGACCAGGGACCATCTTCTCCTCTCTTGCACTTTTAGTAGGGTCATTTGGGTTTTAGTTCAGACAAGACTGAGACTTCATCCACTGGGAGGGGTTCATGTCTTGGACCAGGGCACGCACCAACTCATCTCCTTCTACCCTTAGAAAGGTTATTGCCCAGGCTACTATCTATGCCATTTGGAAGCAGAGAAACAATAACTTCACAATCTTGAAGTCATCCCACCAAATGTCATATTCAAAGCTATCGATCCTGAGGTGATCAACACCATCAACGCCCGAAGAAATCGAAGAATATTCAGAGACTTGATGCGTCACTGGATTAATTGAAGAAACCATCTGAAAGTCCTTTGCTTCCTTGTTTTTTATTTTATTTTTTGCCAAGGAACCAAGAATCTAGGTAACCAACATGTAAATCCAAACTTTTTTCATTTTATATGATATTAACTCATGACTTAGCAAAAAAAAAAGCATTAAATATCGACTTATAAGAAAAGATTATCAGAAGTGAAACTTTACAATCACCAATTGTAACCAATAAAACTTGACAATTACCAATTGTAAATAAGCTTGAGTAACATAGTTTTTGTATGATCTTCATGAAGAGAAGACATGGCTGAGATTTCGTGAAAGCCTTAAAGACATAAAACTAAACTATTCCTTTGTTATATAACTAATTATTTGTTTCAGATTCTTGATATAGTAAAATAAGCTATAATTGTAGCTTAGTAAGTTAGTAGTATATATAAAAATATTTAGATTTTTTTAAAACTGATTATTTTGTATTTCATATTATGCAAAGTAAATTAAACTTAAATACAAAACTAGGATAACAGATTTATTTTACTTTGCAATATCAAATTTTGATTTAATCAATTGAAAAAGTTACATAATAAAACAAATTTGAAAGTAGTTATAAAAATAATTTTTCGTTTATGATAAAAGAAACTTGAAAAGAAATGTTTTGACATATTCATGTAGTGTGTTAGAAATAGTGGGAGAAGAGCAAACCTAGGTGGATGATGGGATAAGAGAAACATACGACGAGAATTTATGAACAAAAAACACACATTTAATAAAACACTAACCTCATGACAGATTTTAAGAGAAAAATTTGAAGTTTGTGACACTTTGTGATTGTAGTTAAGATCTCCAAAAAAATGAATGATATTTTTTTCATTTCAACTGAAAGAACAACTCAAGCGAAGTATTTCTATAGTTAGAGTTTTTAAATATATATATGTAATGGGGTAGTTGTAAAGAGTTTGGATATCATATAAACTACCTAAATTATAGTTCCCAACTCTGGTAATCCAATACCGGTGCACAACATATGATCCATTACAACTACCCCAATGACCTCCCCTTCCAAATTTACCAAAGGACAACCTTGGCTACCATCACTTAAGACACAGTCAGTTTGAATGAAAACGGTATCTTCTCCAGAGATATCTGATAATCCCAAATATATATATATATATATATATATATTAATTGAGCTAATTATTTTATTTTCTTTAATATGAATTTCATTCCTATATTTTTGGTAGCATTAATGATACTGGTGGTTAAAAATATAACTAACCGTTGAAAATAACATAAGTCGACCAGCAATGCCAAGAGGGAACAAACATACTAAGACACGCCTCATACCAACTCTTTTATTTCCGGTTTGATTTTCTCCAACATTCTTGATTTATTCATTTTAGTCCGTGATTGCGAATAGCAAGTTGTAGGCAACACAAAAAGGTGGTGATGGAAGTTGCTTTGAACTGTCAGATAGAGGGTACTATATTAGGCTATTGTACCGTGAAATTAGTTGTTTTTTGTTTCCTTTAGTTTAATTATGGTTCAATCCAAAAAAAAAAAATTGTTATTTTCTCGGATTCCATGAACATAGCAAAGATCATAACAACTTTGACAATGTCTTGTGTACTTCCTCGATACTTTGGCAACATATAATTCTGAATTTTCAAAAGTTTGTAATAGAATAAATATCACATTGGAGTTGTTGTAGTTAATCTCTATACGGAAAATGTCATTTAATACCTCAACTTACCAAAAGTGTTGAAAAGATTCATCAACTTTGCAAGTGTTGAAATAAATTTTCAACTTTGATTGACTTTCCATTAATAGATTATGTTAAATCATAAAACAACATCGCTTCGTATTAAAACAAAACAAAACAAAAATGTGTTAATTGTGGACCATAAACCATGTACCTTTGAACTAGGAAAACTGAGACAAAACCAGTTTAGCTCAAGTGATTTACTTATATATTCACACAAACACATATACTTATTATCTTCTCCACCAGATTTTCTTCATCTCTCACATCAATCTCTGATCCATCTCCTCCGGTGATTGAACTATCTTCTTCACTGGATTTTAACCCAAGAACTCGTGACAGGTTTAAGTTTTTGCATGATCTTCAAAAAAATAATATTTGTAGCAAACTATAACTTCTATAAAAAAATTGTAGCAAAATATTTATAGCTTCTAAAAAATAATTATAGTATAGGAAAGACGATTTGTTAAATTAAACTTAAATACAAAATTAGGATAACAAATTTATTTTACTTTGCAATATCAAATTTTGATTTTCTCAATTGAAAAAGTTACTTAACAAAAAAATTTGAAAGTAGTTATAGAAATAATTTTTCTTTTACAATAAAAGAAGCTTGAAAAATAAATGTTGTGGCATATTAATGTAGTGTGTCAGAAACAATGGGAGTAGAGAAAAACTAGGTAAATAGTGAGAAAAGAGAAACATAAGGCGAGAATATAGAAACAAAAAATACACCTTCAATAAAACACTAACAATATGAAAGATTTTAAAAGAAAAATCTGAAGTATGCGACACTTTGTGTTTGTAGTTAAGATCTCCAAGAAAAATGAATGATTTTGTTTTCTTTTTTTACTCAAAAAACAATGCAAGTGAAGTATTTATATAGTTAGAGTCTTTTTATATTAGTTGTGCTAATTATCTCTTTTATTTTACTGTATTATGAATTTCACTCCTCTATTTTTGGTCGTGGAAATGATACTGATGGTTAGAAAAGATAACTAACCTTTAAAATGACATAAGTCGAGCAGTGATTCCAAACAGTTTACCATTAAAGGTGTGTTAGTTGTGATAGATTTCAGGTAAAGAATCTGCTAAACATATGGAAATTAGGAGATTTGAGGATGATTAATTAGAATATTATACTATGAGTGAATTAAGGGAATAATGATGGGAGATTTCCAAATCTATTTGTTTGGTGACTTTAGGGGAATTAGCTTTCATATTAAAACAATAAGTCACATCTCTTTACTTTACTCATTTGGGATGCATCTTATTGACATGGTAAATGAGAGGATGGTTCTAAAACAGCGGGAGAATAAATACTTATGGGCTATTGTAGATGGTGTCAAAAGGAAGACGGTTAACTTCAAGGTTGAACCACCTAGTCTTTTTATAGGTTGTGGGGGACTTCCCAA